GGGGCACGAACCCGTGTCCCCTGCATTGGCAGGCGGACTCTCAACCACTGCGCCAGCAGGGAAGCCCTCCCATAAACTTTTATATGTAATAAATAAAATTTATATTTAAAATTATTTTAAGATAAGGAATGTTAAAAGAAATCCCTAGTCATCTGAGCCATAACGGTGAGATTAATTACAGAAATATTTTAAAATCTATTTCAGTAGTAACTCCCTAGCCAGGTTTGAATCATCTTTGAAGATGAAGAACAAATACCAACTCCAAGAAGCCTTCCTCATTCCAGGGTGCAGCTCAGTTTAGGCACCCCTCTCAGAACTGCTTTAGCATCCTTTACTGATGAGATTTACTTCCTCAACAAGTAATATTGTCTGTATAATCCCACAGATAATTGGCTATTTGTGTGTATAATCTGTGCTTCCTTCTCTGTGGCCATAATATCTGGTGCAGTACTTTTCCCATATTAAAGCAACTATTTCATTCATACAACAACTACTTATTGAGCACCTAACTTATATCTGATTCAGAATACCCTGAGGAAAAAGCCTAACTCCAATCCTAAAGATTATACTCTAATTATACTCTAATGTGGGAAATGACAGGTAAATTGATGATTATAGGAGTAAGACATAAGGCCAGAATCAAATAAAGTATTTAGCAACATGGGAATCCTGGGAGACCAGCGGGTTTTTAAGTAGGAGGTTACATAGGAGCCAAATTCTGAATATGAGTTAGGATTTAGCCAGGAGGCAGTTAAGAGTTTTCTGGCTGGAGGAAGAAGCAAGAGGCAAGCATACTCTAGTGTCAGGGGCTGAATGAAGTAGAGGTGAGAAACTAGGTTGTAAGGGAAATACCTAAAGAAGAGGCTGGGGTAAGAGACAGGGGAAAATCTTGTAGGAGACATTGAGAAGGAAATCAGCCTTTATCCTAAAATAAGCAGAGTAAGATTTACATATTGAAAAGTCACTTGAACAGCAGTGTGGCCAGAGAACTAAAGAGATGTAAGGATGGAGGGAAGAGCTTACTTAGGAAGAATTGTAGCAATCCAGACAAAAGATGAGGATCCCTAGGATAGGGGATTCACTTCAAGAACATGAGATAAATACCAAGAAGGCAGCAGGACTGACTAGCTGTGGGAAGTGAGGCAAAAGGAGCAAGTAAGTAAGAATGCCCTCCAGGTTCTGGTTTAGGAAGATCTATGTGTGGTACCATCAACTGAACTAAGGAATGTTTTATGGGAGAAGAATAAATGGGTCCATGAATAAGTGGGAAAATAGCTAAATTCTTTTTGCATGTTGGCAATATATTTTAGCCAAGAATTGTACATAAGCACATATATCAAGAGTATTCTGGCTGGAATCTCAGAGCATTATATAAGGAATTAAAGAGATTAATATTTTAGGTAACTAAAAAGAACCTCATATTAATTAAAAAATAAATTTAATGTACGAGTGTTTAGAAAGTTTCTAGTATTCGAATTCCATGAACACTGAAACTGGTCTTCCATCCCTACAACCACACAAATGTGCATCCATAGACGTGGATATACTGTATGTTTAACAACACTTTTATATTTGTAAACATAGATTTGTCTGTGGTTTCATGTGTGAATACACATACACTTTTATATAATAATGAACATTGTAATCCTCAGAAGCTCCTTTATTTTTATATATTAATTTATTTTTTCCTAGTTTTATTATGTTACTTGACATTTAATTAAAGAAGATTTACTGAGAGAATATTATGTTTGACAGTTGACATAAGTATGAAGTAGTTATAAGCCAAAAGTTCATGGGACTACAGAAAAACTATATTAAGAGAAAATGCAAATAAAGACAAGAGACTGTATTAGAAGAAGAGTTCAGCTTCAGGAGTTTAGAAATTAAAAAGGAAAGTAATCCTAAAATTAGATCCAAGTAGAGAAGAATACATTTAGAAAATGAGAGTCACAAGAAAAAGAAGGCCCCCAAAAAGAGAGAACAAGAGAACAAATGAATCATTTATGCAGAGAAGAAGATGCACCACCACTCACACACCCCAGAGAGGATCTCTTTCACAAGCAGACTGCTGATTACCGGGATAAAGGGAAGACAAAGACCATTCTCTGCCCCATGTAGACGTTTCTATATGTTAATGAGCAAATATTACACTTGTTAATGAATCAGCTAGCCCTCTCTTGTACTCTGCAAAGAAAGTTTCCTGGACTGGTACCAGTAATCACAGTAAACTTAGTTAATATAACTTCCCAATAATTAAATATATATATATAAATAAATTTTAAGCAAAGCCTATGCAAAACTTCAATGATTAATATACCTATCCTATCTCTGAATGTCTGCACAAATTATTAGAATAGCAGCCAGTTAAAACTTTTATAGTTATTTTCCCACTTGTGATCTTAGTATCTGGAACAAAAAGTGAATTCCATAGGTATTAATTTCCATAAACAAAAAAATTTGGGAAAAGCTGTGTTAAGTATGTATCTTTCTTTGTGTGTGTGTGGTACATGGGCCTCTCACTGCTGTGGCCTCTCCCGTTGCGGAGCACAGACTCCGGACGCACAGGACCAGCGGCCATGGCTCACAGGACCAGCCACTCCGCGGCATGTGGGATCCTCCTGGAACGCGGCACGAACCCTTGTCCGCTGCATCGGCAGGCGGACTCTCAACCACTGTGCCACCAGGGAAGCCCAAGCATGTACCTTTGATATAAGCTATTTCAAGCATTTTGAGTATATAGGAGGTGCATAGAGTAATAAGTATTTCCAGTTTGGAAGCAGAATCTTTTCTTTCTTGGACCAGTAAGGCATTAGTGTTCTCTAGGTACGTTGTTATTAAGACCTTCCTTTAAGTGGTTGAGAGTCCGCCTGCCGATGCAGGGGACACAGGTTCGTACCCCGGTCCGGGAAGATCCCACGTGCTGCGGAGGGGCTGGGCCCGTGAGCCATGGCCGCTGAGCCTGCGCGTCCAGAGCCTGTGCTCCGCAACAGGAGAGGCCACAACAGTGAGAGGCCGGCGTACCGAAAAAAAAAAATTGTGGCTTATTCATCTGTAAGAGCACTATCAGGCACAATTATGCTTCTGAGTTTGGGTGGTGCAATACCTGTACATCTGTATAGCTTTCTTGCCTGTGCAATATCTCCTTTGCTTAAACGGGTTCGCTGACCAATTGCTGGACGTATGCCATTATCATCACGTGAGGGGAGAATGGTATCCAGAAACATCCCCCTGAAAAAAATCAGAAGCAAGTCACACATAAGTCACCACATTAAAACACATATATTCCTTACAAATATGTTTTTTTTTTTCAAACTCAAACCAATCAAAGGAGAAATATATCAGTGTTAAGATTTAAAGAGTGTGTCAGACCTTCAAAACACTTTCATCAAAGTAGAAGAAAATTGTGTGCTAAATGTGTATGGCTAATATAAAGTCAGTGATGGCGTTCACTTTTTCCTTAAAAATGTATATAATTTGTTTTTGAAAATCTAAAATTCTATATAGTCCTTATCAAGTACACTATGGTTCTTGTTTTGGTAGCTCAAGATCTAAAAACACTTAAATTATCAAGTTGTCAAAACAATTCTTCCTCATAGAGATCTATTTTCTTAAGAACAGCTTATAATAAATATTTTTTAGATTACTAAACTTGTAAAAGTCAAACAAAACAAGTATGTTAATATTTTTAAATTAAACTACTAATTTAACCTAAGTATTTTTTGAAGTCAAATTATCACAGTATGTGTTACAAGAACAAAGAAAAACAAAGAGTGTCAAATTTTAGGAAGTTTAAAGCAAAATAATTTTGTCACACACACATAAATACAAACACACACATATACATATAGTGTAAAAACTTCATGGTAAAATTTATAAGCAAAAAAAAAAAACAATAAGCAATGCACTAATAATGCTAAGCTACAGATACTGAGCTTTTTCACACCCATGGTTGTGATACAAACTTGCTGTGCATGACTAAAACTTGTGAATATAGTAAACTAAAGATACAGTCTAATTTTGCAATGAATATTAACATTTGTAGCTCTAAAGAAAGTAACTGAGCTTAAAAGTTAAATGGATTGGGAGATTATTCTAAGTGGTGAGGAAATATTGTATAAAAAGAGACACTTTTTATAAAAGTATTTTAAATTAAGAAATATAATTATTAAAAAAACAAACAAACTTTGAAACTGGGATGAATGATGGGACAGCTTCTTTCCAAAAATTTTAAATGAAAAATTGTATTTAAACTGCAGGTTTAAAGAACAATATTTTAGTTCTAATTTTTCTTCCTTTAAGAAATATTTACTGGGAATTCCCTGCTGGTCCAGTGGTTAGGACTCCACGCTTCCACTGCAGGGGGTATGGGTTTGATCCTTGGTCAGGGAACTAAGATCCTGCATGCCGTGCGGTGTGGCCAAAAAAAAAAAAAAAAAAAAATTACTGAGCATTGTTATAGACCTATAGACCTGGATTTATAGCAGTAAATAAAAGAAACAAAAATTCCTCCCCTTAAGATTCTCACATTCTAATGGAGGGAGAAAGTCTTTAACAAAGATTGATAACTGAGATAGTGACAGATATTTTGGAGAAAAATAAGGAAGAGAAGATGGATATTGATTATCCACTGATGGGATAGCTTTAAAAAAAGAGTGATCAAAGAAAAGTTCACTTGGAAGTTGACATTTTAGCCAAACATCAAGGAAGTGAAGGCGAGGTAAATGTGGGTAACTGGGAGTAGAGAGTCACAGACAGAAAGAACTTTAAGAAATACAGCAACCCTGAGATGGGAGGATGCTTTGAGTGTCAAAGTTTAACTTTTAACCTGAGAAAAACTCTTAATATGTAGATGATGGTAAACAGAGGTGTGACATGATCTATAAGTAACTTATGACTTACCTCCCTAGCTTCTAGGTAGGAGTGGTGATCTTTAGATAAAACCCAGATAACTCAAATAGATACTGGAACTCTTTTAAAACCAAATCTAAGTCTCTACAAAACTCAATATGTATACTACCTGAGATGAAGGTAGGGAGGGGGAACTAATCATCAAAAGTGAGAGCTTGCACACACTTAATAAAATACAGCTAGGCCAGTGCAACTGAAGGGGAAGTTGAGCTATAGGGTAGCACTGAGAAAATTTATTCTTCAACTTTGCTGCACAAATCAACAGATACATTAAGTAGGTAAGTCCAAATTAGTGAAGTGTTACAACTTCTGCAGTACTTCAGTACTAATGGAGTATTCACTATTTTCTATTCCTATTTTGAAAAAACAAACCCTGTAGTTTTCGAAAAATTTTGTTTTTTCCAGTTTTCAAAAACAAAGATTCAATTTTAAAAGGTCAAGGACATCTTGGATAAGATATATTCAAACTCAGGTGATAGAATGATGAATTTTGGCTCATTTAATCTACGGAGGTAATCTGCCTTCCATTTGTATGGGTGTCAGTCACCCATTCTTTTGATCTATCTTTGTGGTGAGAAAGTTAACAATTCTCTCCTTCCACAACCAGGCCATTAAGCAATGTAGGCTCTTCCTGAACTTTCTTTCAGACAGACCATAGATGGGGTCACTTACTAATCTTCATTTGTTTTACCTACATTAGAAGAGTGAATTAACTGTGCTTTTCATAAAACTTCATAAAATTTTACAATTCTCTTATTAGAAATGGGCAGTTCCAGTTTGCAAGCATGTACATTACAAATTATCTATGCATATAAAGCCCCCTATATGCAGCCCTGTTCTTCCCACAGTAAGTACTTAAATCTGCACATGGGAAATATTGATGAAAACTAAAACTTTTATAGACCATCTGGGTTCAGAATAGAAGAAACTATAAAACTTCAAATACATTAACAGAATGAAGGGCAAAAGCCACATGTTCATCTAATTGATGCAGAAAAAGCATTTGACAAAATTCAACACATTTTCATGATAAAAGCACTCAACAAACTAGTAATAGAAGGGAACTATCTCAACATAAAAGGTCATATATGAAAAACCTACAGATAACATCACGCTCAATGAAAAACTGAAAACTTTTCATCTAAGATCAGGAAGATGGCAAGGATGTTTGCTCTCACCATTTTTATTCAACATAGTATTGAAAGTTCTAGTCAGAGAAATTAGGCAAGACAAAGAGTCAAAAGGTATACATGTTGAAAAGAAAGAAATAAAGTGATCTCTGTTTGCAGATAACACAATCTTATATGTATAAAATCCTAGTGAGTCCACCCAAAAACTATCAGGACTGATAAATGAATTCAACAAAATCAACACTCAAAAATCAGTTGCATTTCTATACAATAACAGTGAACAACCTGAAAAGGAAATTAAGAAAACAATTCCATTTAAAATAGCATCAAAAAAAAATAAAATACTTGGGAATAAACTTAACCAAGGAAGCAAAAGACTTACACACTGAAAATTACAAAACATCACTGAAAGAAATTAAAGAAGACACAAACAAATGGAAAAACATTCTATATTTATGGATTGGATGACTTTATTTGTTAAGATGTTCACATTACTCAAAAAAATCAACATAATCCCTATCAAAACGAAAATGGCATTTATTATGGAAATAGAAAAAATAACAGTTCTAAAATTCATATGTAATCTCTTAGGACCTTGAATAGCCAAACATATTTTGAAAAAAAAGAACAAAGGTGGAGGACTCACACTTTCAGATTTCAAAACATATTACAAACCTTAAGTAACTAAAACAGTGTGATATTGGCATAAAGACAGACCTATAGAACAATGGAATTGAACAGGAATAAAATACACCCTAGTGTATATAATGACCTTTAACAACAGTGTTAAAGGTATTGACTCAATGGGGAAAATATAATCTTTACAATAAATGATGTTGGGAAAACTGGATATCCATGTGCAAAAGAACAAAGTTAGACCCTTATAAAAGCCATATATAAAAATAACTCAAAGGAGATTAAAGACCTGAACATAAGACCCCAAATTATAAAACTCTTAGGAGAAAACATAGGGGAAAAGCTTCATGACATTGAATATGGCAATGATTTCTTGGATATGACACCAAAATCATAGGCAACAAAAGCAAAAACAGGTAAGTGGGACTAGGCTTTTAATTAATAATCTTGTGCACAGCAAAGGAAACAATCAAGTGAAAAGGAGAGAAAATATTTGCAAGATATATGTATCTGATAAGAGACCAGAATATACAAAGAAATTCTACAGCTCAAAAATAGAAAAATGGAGTAACCTGATTTAAAAATATGCAGATTTGAATGGAAATTTTTTTCTAATATTTATTGGAGTATAGTTGCTTTACAATGTTGTGTTAGGTTCTACTGTACAGTAAAGTGAATCAACTGTACATATATATACATCCCCTCTTTTTTGGATTTCCTTCCCATTTAGGTCACTGCAGAGCACTGAGTAGAGTTCCCTGTGGTATACAGTAGGTTCTCATTTGTTATCTACTTTATACATAGTATCAATAGTGTATATATGTCAATCCTCATCTCCCAATTAATCATACCCTCCTCCTTCCCCCTTGATATCTATATGTTTGTTCTCTACGTCTGTGTATCTATTTCTGCTTCGCAAATAAGATCATCTACACCATTTTTTAAAATTCCATGTATATGCGTTAATATACAATATTTGTTTTTCTCTTTCTGACTTACTTCACTCTGTATGACAGTCTCTAGGTCCATCAACATCTCTACATATGACCCAATTTCTTTCCTTTTTATGGCTGAGTAATATTCCATCGTATATATGTATCACATCTTCTTTATCCATTCCTCTGTTGATGGACATTTAGGTTACTTCCATGTCCTGTTTACTGTAAATAGTGCTGCAATGAACACTGGGGTGCATGTGCCTTTTTGAATTATGGTTTTCTCTGAGTATATGCCCAGTAGTGGGATTGCTGGGTCATATGGTAATTCTACTTTTAGTTTTTTAAGGAACCTCATACTGTTCTCCATAGTGGTTGTATCAATTTTCATTCCCAGCAACAGTGCAAGAGGGTTCCCATTTCTCCACATGCTCTCCAGCATTTATTGTTTGTAGATTTTTAAAAAAATAAATTTGTTTGTTTTATTTTATTTATTTTATGTTTGGCTGCGTTGCGTCTTCATTGCTGCATGTGGGCTTTTCTCTGGTTGCTGCGAGTGGGGGCAACTCTTCATTGTGGTGCACAGGCTTCTCATTGTGGTGGCTTCTCTTGTTGGAAGCATGAGATCTAGGTGTGTGGGCTTCACTACTTGCGGCACACGGGCTCAGTAGTTGTGGCTCACGGGCTCTAGAGTGCAGGCTCAGTAGTTGTGGTGCACGGGCTTAGCTGCTCCGTGGCATGTGGGATCTTCACGGACCAGGGCTTGAACCCATGTCTCCTGCATTGGCAGGTGGATCCTTAACCACTGAGCCACCAGGGAAGCCCTGTTTGTAGAATTTTTGATGATGGCCATTCTGACCGGTGTGAGGTGATACCTCATTGTAGTTTTAATTTGCTTTTCTCTAGTAATTGGTGATGTTGATGGCCAAGCATATAAAAATACGCTCAACATCACTAATTATCAGAGAAATACAAATCAAAACCATAATGAGGCATCACATCATACCCATTAGGATGGCTACTATCAAAAAATTAAAAAACAAAACAGAAAAGAACACATGTTCGTGAGGATATGGAGAAATTGGAACACTTATGCACTGTTGATGGGATCGTGAAATAGTGCAGCATCTAAGAAAAAAATTATGGAGGTTCTTCAAATAATTAAACATATAGTTCAACAATCCCACTTACTTCTGTGTATAAATGGAAAAGAATGGAAAACAGGATTTGGAAGAGATATTTGCATACCCATGTTCGTGGCAGCACTATTCACAATAGCCAAGAGGTGAAAGCAACTCAGATGTCCATCAACAAATGAATGAATAAACAAAATGTGGTATATGCATCCAATGGAATATTATTCAGCCTTAAAAAGGAAAGAAATTCTGTTACATGCTACAACATAGATGAACCTAAAGAATTTTATGCTAGGTGAAATAAACCAGTCACAAAAAGACAAATACTGTGTGATTCTACTTGGTATCTAAAGTAGCTAAATTCATAGACACAGAAAGTGGAAAGGTGGTCCAGAGGCTGGCAGTGGGGCAGGGGGAGAGAGGAGAGTTGTTGTTTAATGGGTATAGGGTTTCAGTTTTTCAAGATGAAAAGTTTCTGGACATCTGTTTCACAACAATGTGAATGTACTTAATACTACTACATTGTACACTTAAAATTAGATAATACAGTAAATTTGATATTGAGGTTTCTTTACCACAATAATAAAAAAAAATCAAATACTTTGGAGGTGGTGGCTGAGAGCTGTGTGAAATATTTCCTCTCATGAAATTCAGAAAAAAAAATGTGAATTGGATCAATTCTTCTAACAGGTAGATACAGTTACTTTCACCATAGGAATATAAGTTTATTTGGGAAAAGTGAATAGGTAAATTTTGAAACAATGAGAGAAAATAATAGTTCAAGGCTAGTTGTCATGCAACTCCAAAGTTAGGTGTAGGGGGTGATAAATTGCAAGAACCTCGTGGTTTATGGAAAAGCAACAATTTAAAGACATGAAAGGAGTATAGAATAAGGGAAAATGTATGTTTCAAACTTTGGTATAGGTTCATTGTCTACCAGGGACAGAAATAATAGATTACCTTTTCCGTTCTCCAGTACCTGCTCTATTCCAAAGAATCTAAACTCAGTTTATTTCTAACTAATATAACTCAACAGTGTAAGAGAAGCACTTTGGCTAAACTGGTACCCAAATCCTCATTTTTCACATGTTTCTAAAGAAAACTCAATTCCAAGCATGAAAACAAAGCTTTATAATACTTTAAGATTAATTTCAGGCCAAGTTTATGGATGTATTTCTGCTAAAACTTCAATTCAATTCAAAAAACAGTAAGTATTTGGGTAGTTATTATATTTGAACGATTATATACTTCAGAATAAAATGATTTTTAAAATACAGTCAACACTCAATTATGTTAATAATAAAGTTTGGTTGTAAAGAAGCATAATTTAAATATTTATCCAAGTGTTAAGAATTTATTTACACCCTTCTCTAATTATTACCACAATTTTTTTTTAAAAAAAACGGAATTAACTTGAATTTACTGTCTTCTTCCTGACCCTGCCTTTAAACATAGACATTAATGAATTGTGAAGTGGGCATGGTGATCAGAAAAGAATGAGTGGAATGGACATGACTGTAAAATGGGTGTAAAATGGGAAAAAGATATGACTTCAACGATTTTAACAGTTTCACATTCCTTACCTGGAAACCATTGCCTTGATGACATCTTGTTTAGAGTGAAATAGATCAAAACCCAAATTTATTACACTCTTAAAAATTAGCATTCAGTCACTAATGAAATAATTTTAAGGTTAATAACTGGAAAGTATATGAAATAAAATATCTTCCTAAAACGTTCTCTGAGAATTATTTTACTATAGCATATTTCAAGTGAAATTAGTACTTGAGCAACAGAAAATACACAATAAAAACACAAGTCACATGAGAGTATAACATTCCAACTCAACAACTGAGCTTGCTATTTAACTTGAAATGCCTAATTTTCATTAATAGTGCTTTGCCAATTTAACATGCAGATTGGTTTGGTAATCATTTTACTTGAACTTTTTTAAGATTTAAGAATATTAAATAATTCAAAAACTTTTAATTTTTACTTAGAATCTATTTATTTGATAGGAAATGTGAAAATGTGTTTTTAAAATCTCAAATACCTGTTGTTGGCTATAAACACCAATCAAGTATATTTTGTACTTTATGACAGCGATATTTGAAAGTGGTTCTAGTTCTAATGTTAAGCCTAGTTTTGTGAGGAGCCACACAGAGGAAAGGAATTAAAAGTCAAAAGGTATAACCTGAGACTCCAACCTTGAGAAGGTGTTCCTGGCATAGTGCATGATACTGTCAAAATCATATCTTTCTCCAAGCGAGTTCACTTCTCCAGGCTCCATCTTCAGAAAATTGTACTCTTGACCTAAGAATTAGGCACAGAAAACATTTCAGAAGCCTCTTAACAGACAGAAAAGAGAACAGAAGAGCCCTTCCTGCCTCTATCTGCTCTCTACCAAATGCTGATCGCTGATCTTCACGACGTTGTATTTACACACTAACACCCAGGTACTCGCAAAAGGGTACATCCAGTGCCACTGCTTGCACTTGAATATCATCCTGAAAGAGTAATATTGAATTTAATTAATAAGTTAATTTTGGCAAAAAGTAGATTACCAAAAGCATGCTTTGGATTTGTTTTCTTTGTATACTCTTTCACCTTCTCTAAATATTTGTTTCTTTAAAACTACTGCTTTTTTTTTTAACAATATTGTGATTATAAAAAGTTACATTTTTACTTAATAAGTCTCCCATCTTTCTCTTATGACTATATTTACCAAGACCAAAAAAAAAAATAACTTCCTATTTGTGTTAGATTCTATGAAACACTGGAAAAAATATAAAAACTATATTTTTATGTACACAGAACATTGCAGGCGTTTGCTATGTGACTTTGTCACTAAAGATAAAACCACAGCAACTGAAACAAGATTCTCTTTGATGAAAAGGAGGCTCTACTTGGAGGGCTTTTTTGGTCAAGAGAATATGTTTCAGAACTTACTTTTTCATTTTTTACTTTTCACGACTGCTATTTTAACTTCTGGATATCTTCATGTTAATAGATTTCTCAACTGCCTGTTTGTATCTGTATTGTAATATTATTTCTTGAAATTTGAAAATAACATAGTGTTAAATGTGTAGATCTACATCAATGGTTCCAGAGGCAGAGTATTTCCTCAGAGTTTAGGTTTCAGTGATTCATTTTTCACAATTTCAGCAGCCAAAGATGGCTGCTTTTATAGCTCATTTTGAAACATCAAAGTGTAAACTTGAGTTATTAGGCTTCCAAATTCAAGGCTGGAGTTTAAAAAAGAACTATTATTGTACAACACTTATGTAACTATTTTAATTTTATTCCAACTGCTGTATTACTACTGAATATAAAAATATTACATTAAAAATTTCCCAAAAAGCAATAAAAAACAGTGATGCCACAGAGTATATCTTTCCTACATGTGATAAGGAAGTCTGATATACTCACTTGAGCATTAAAACAATCAGTGTGAAGTTACAGAACCCAAGTCCCAGAGTAAAGTGTTTCAGTCCACCTTACAATGAATTCACACAATAAATAGTTTTCAGTGAACTAAGCACACCATATAGTGAAATACACGTTCCACAAATCTCTGGTTTATCTGTCTGTATTACAACTATTCTCGGGAAATACCCTGCATTATCTTCAACCTTTGATAGAAGTAACTGTTAAAAACTCTCTTCTTCATTAAACATGGTAAGTATATTTTAGTACAACCAATTCTAAGGTGAGATTTTTATAAAGCTGTGGGGCTGATTTTTAATATTAATCTATAATCCACTGGAGATTTCAAATTTCAAGCACAATATGTGAGTATACTCTCTAATTAAAGCAAAATCTTGCATAAATATTTCTGAAAGTGGAACATGAAGCAACTTCAGTAATACATTTTGATGTATATAACTGAGCAGTTACCATGTATGTGACATAGTGTTTTGTGCTAGTTAAAAAGAACACAGCCATACTTGGTCCAAATAAAGAAAAGCAGACATTTCATAACAGAAGAGAAGAGGATCAGAGATACAGAGCACCAGTGGAATTCACCCTAAACAATTTTTTTAAAAATGACAGGGCTTTGCTGGTGGCGCAGTGGTTGGGAGTCCGCCTGCCGATGCAGGGAACACGGGTTCGTGCCCCAGTCTGGGAAGATCCCACATGCCGCGGAGCGGCTGGGCCCGTGAGCCATGGCCGCTGAGCCTGCGCGCCCGGAGCCTGTGCTCCGCAACGAGAGAGGCCACAACAGTGAGAGGCCAACGTACCACAAAAAAAAAAAAAAAAAAGACAACCTCCTTCTTGAAGGCATGCTCTAAAGTGGATTAAAGTAATCCAATCTTTGTACCAAATTGGCTCCTATCATATTCACTAGTTTTGCATATAAATGCAGCTAAAGTCCACACTTATTAGATGTTGCCTTAGAATAACACTTGATCTAAAATTTCTGAGGCAAAGTAAGTCACAAACTTGCTGAAGATTATGCTCCAATATGAATTTTTCATACTAGAATTACCTTGCTATAGTACAGTCAGCCTTCAGTATCTGCAGGGGACTGGTTCCAGGAAGCCCTTGGATACCAAAATCTGTGGATGTTTAAGTCCCTTATATAAAATGTTTTAGTACAATGAATAAGAAATTTCGATTCAGAGGTTGGTTGAATCCACGGATGCAAAACCCTATGAATATGGAGGGCCAACTGTCCATACATACAAATGATTGCAAGTGAGTGAGAAAAGTGAGAATAATCATATGTTGAGAATATCGTTGAATCCAAACAAGGTATGACAAAATGTGCATGGAGTTCCAAATACTCAGGACATTTCATGCAATAAATTGTTGTTTTCTATTAGATTGAATGTTGACTCAAATTATGAGTCAACATTATGAGTCATATTGACTCAAAAATATGAAAAGCCATAAATTGTTTAGCACTGTGTTAAGTATTATACATTTACATACTATTTATATATTTCTGCTTGTTTTAGCTACATAAATTTATGTTGAACCAGAGTCCTATTTTTAAGAGCAAGAATCATTCTTGGAAGTTACTTCCTTTATAAGTTATTTTGTCCACATAATAGAGGAAACTTAGTAACTGTGGTTGATAGAAAACTTTTCATTTAGTTGGTAGTTGGAGTAATTTTCAGAAATATTATTTTCTCTTTGTCTCCCAATGATATAAAGTATAAGATGAACCTTGATAGCTGGTCAGGCATTAGAGTCTTCTATATTGGGAGTATAGATGTTATTTACTTCTCTTTCAACACTACAGATTACTTATTTATTCTTGAAGTGATCTCTTCCCTGTAACATCACATTCATTGATGTTTCTCCTACTTCTTAGACCAAACTTTCTTAATCTTTTGAGAGATATTCTACAAAATGTTGCTTAAATATTGGTGTTCCCCATATTCTACCCACAATCTTATTTTCTTCTTCCTCCAATATTTTCCTAGACAGTGAAATCCACTAACAAATTTCTATCTCTAGATATCTTAAAGTCTAGACTCACCTTTCCTTTGTCTACTAAATATCTCCACTTGGACCATCTAAAGTACGAACCAGTGTCCCCTGCATCAGCAGGCGGACTCTCGACCACTGCGCCACCAGGGAAGCCCAGACCAAACTTTCTTAATCTGTTGAGAGATATTCTACAAAATGTTGCTTAAATATTGGTGTTCCCCATATTCTACCCACAATCTTATTTTCTTCTTCCGCCAATATTTTCCTAGACAGTGAAATCTACTAACAAATTTCTATCTCTAGATATCTTAAAGTCTAGACTCACCTTTCCTTTGTCTACTAAATATCTCCACTTGGACCATCTAAAGGCTTCTCAAACTCAAGGATATGCTAAATGAAATTATTTGTCTTTCTTCCTCTTAAAAATATGTTGCTTTATCCATATTTCTTAGTTCATTTGATGGTGCCACCATTCATCCTGTTGCCTAAAAATAAAATCTTGAAGATTTGCTTTCACATGATGTTCCTCTTAAAATATTTTTGAAAGATTATTCCTCTCCTCCTTCTTGGCCTACACCACCCTAACTGAGGACTTAGTCATCTCTTATAAACGATTTATTTAAGTTTCTAATAGGTTTCCCTGATGTCACGTTCATCCTCCCCACCCCCATATCCCCATTCTCAGTTAATAATCCCTACAGCTGAAATAATTCTTTTTTTAAATCTGAACTTGCTCTGCTTTCAATCCTTTGATTATTCTCCAGTAGCTAGAGGATAAAATCTAAATTTCTTAGCTTCAGATAGAAAATCCCTATGATCTAATCTCCCTTGGTAATTACCAACTAGTCTCTCATTTGTAACTTACCATGCAGTCATTTGGGCAAATAAAAATGATTTAATTATCTGTAATTGTAGCTTTGATCATGACGCTTTTATTTTTTTCCAGTTAGAAATTCCATCACTCTTCTGGGCACTTAGAACCCCTTTAATTCTAAATTTCAGTTCCTTTGTGACGTCTCCCTTGACTCGCAAGGCACATTTTGTCACACCTTGCTTGGACTGGATTGTGTTCTCAATATAACACTATTCTCACTCGCTTGCAATTGTTTGTATACATGGATATACATACACTAAGCTCTGTAATTTTCATGAAGTATCTCCAACATCTAATAGTGCCTCGATAAATAACTGGCAGCAAATATGCTATGAACAAATAAATAGAGCAATGCTGTAAATCACAGGAAATTCTAAGGAATTAAATATTTCTAACTTAAAACTGACCATGAATAAGGAAATAAGGACACATTTCTGCTTTGCTTCTGCTTGAAATACACACAACTTTCTAAGACAATTCTAAACAACAGGATTTTTCTTCTGACAATTGAAATGTACTTATCTTTATGAATTATGAAAGGTAAAACAAATGAAAAACTAAATGAGGTGATTATCACACATCAACTGTCGGAGAAAATTAAATTTTAATTATATATTAACTATTGAACTAATGAAATTATTGAAAACATTCTTAAGAATTTGTCTTTAGTGTAGTTCAGGGGAAATCTCAAGAAAATATTTGGACTATCCTGGAAATGACTCACTTCCCTGGAATTTTCTCCAGAAATTGTCCCTGATATAAGATAGATTTGTATGGTAGCAACACATTTTGTGGCAAACCCTGGACCCTTTTTAAAAGCCAACAACATAAATTATAGAATTAAGTATAGAAAATACTTTTTAAAAATTTATTAATATTAATTTACATTTTAATAGCCTACACCCATTCTTGGAAAGTACCGAAGTTTGGATATAAAATAGCTAAATCTTAAGAAAAAAATCAAGCCTAAAAAATGCGTAAGATCATTTGATCTGCAGGAAAAAATTAACAACATAGCAGCTATTTTTAAATCAAGCAAAATGTTGATCTACAATATCAACAAAATCAGTTCACATTTTTTAAGAAGTTAAATGATAAATAGTACAATACATTTAAAAGATATTTAGTCAATCTTAAACCCAACACATTCTGAAGCCTCTCACCTGGCTGGATGTTTTCTCTTATGATAGTTACATGATTATCTCGATCTGGTCGTGTGTGTTCATGCCAAAAGCCTATCACATGGCCCAATTCATGAACAACAATTCCAAATTTATCACAGTTCTTGCCAATAGAGATAGCCTGAGGTCCATTTCCACGCCGACCTACATAGGAGCAGCATCTGGAATAAAGTAGAAAGTTCAGATGGTGGTGGACAGGGAGATGCTGAGTGAATTACAGTAGGGTGAAACAACGCGCAGGCTCAGTGGCCATGGCTCACGGGCCCAGTCGCTCCGCAGCATGTGGGATCTTCCCAGACCGGGGCACGATCCCGTGTCCCCTGCATTAGCAGGCAGATTCTCAACAACTGCGCCACCAGGGAAGCCCAGCGTGAAACTTTTGTCATGAACTGTAAAGTCCAACACATTCAGAGGCAGAACAGTTTTTCATTAATAAATATTTCATTAATAAAAATTTCTAGTAATCCTGGTAGGTTTATGTACGAGTCCCCAAATAATCTATTGAAGTGCCTTTGTACTAATTCATATATTAGAAGATGTGTCTTAAATAATTTTTAGAAGTATTCAGAAGATAAATCAGAAAATAAAATACTTATGATGATGATTAATGGCTATTATACATATACTTAAACTCAAGACATCAACTCACATGTATTTCTAATACAATTTTTGATCCTCAAAACCCATTTAGGTAACTACTTTGTCAATATGGTTATCTAACAATAATCCATTATTTCAGTATTAAAAATAAAAACAAAGTTTATTTTTCCTCTTTGAGAAAAACAATTAAGTTTGTGAAAAATGTGCCGGACACTGAACACCTTTTCTAATTTATTAAGTTAAAAGAGGAAATTGCCTAAAATTAATTGCCCCAATTTTTTTTTTTTTAACATCTTTATTGGGGTATAACTGCTTTACAATGGTGTGTTAGTTTCTGCTTTATAACAGAGTGAATCAGTTATACATACACATATGTTCCCATATCTCTTCCCTCTTTGTCTCCCTCCCTCACACCCTCCCTATCCCACCCCTCCAGACAGCCACAAAGAACCGAGCCGGTTTCCCTGTGCCATGCGGCTACTTCCCACTGGCTATCTACCTTACGTTTGTAAGTATATATATGTCCATGTCTCTCTCTCGCCCTATCACACCTCACCCTTCCCCCTCCCCATATCCTCAAGTCTGCTCTCCAGTAGGTCTGTGTCTTTATTCCTGTTTTACCCCTAGGTTCTTCATAACATTTTTTTTTCTAAATTCCATATATGTGTTAGCATACGGTATTTGTCCTTCTCTTTCTGACTTACTTCACTCTGTATGACAGACTCTAGGTCTATCCACCTCATTACAAATAGCTCAATTTCGTTTCTTTTTATGGCTGAGTAATATTCCATTGTATATATGTGCCACATCTTCTTTATCCATTCATCCGACGATGGGCACTTAGGTTGTTTCCATCTCCGGGCTATTGTAAATAGAGCTGCAATGAACATTTTGGTACATGACTCTTTCTGAATTCTGGTTTCCTCAGGGTATATACCTAGTAGTGGGATTGCTGGGTCATATGGTAGTTCTATTTGTAGTTTTTTAAGGAACCTCCATACTGTTCTCCATAGTGGCTGAACCAATTCACATTCCCACCAGCAGTGCAAGAGTGTTCCCTTTTCTCCACACCCTCTCCAGCATTTATTGTTTCTAGATTTTTTGATGATGGCCATTCTGACTGGTGTGAGATGATATCTCATTGTAGTTTTGATTTGCATTTCTCTAATGATTAATGATGTTGAGCATTCTTTCATGTGTTTGTTGGCAGTCTGTATATCTTCTTTGGAGAAATGTCTATTTAGGTCTTCTGCCCATTTTTGGATTGGGTTGTTTATTTTTTTGTTATTGAGCTGCATGAGCTGCCTGTAAATTTTAGAGATTAATCCTTTGTCAGTTGATTCATTTGCAAATATTTTCTCCCATTCTGAGGGCTGTCTTTTGGTCTTGTTTATGGTTTCCTTTGCTGTGCAAAAGCTTTGAAGTTTCATTAGGTCCCATTTGTTTATTTTTGTTTTTATCTCCATTACTCTAGGAGATGGGTCAAGAAGGATCTTGCTGTGATTTATGTCATAGAGTGTTCTGCCTATGTTTTCCTCTAAGAGTTTGATAGTTTCTGGCCTTACATTTAGGTCTTTAATCCATTTTGAGCTTATTTTTGTGTATGGTGTTAGGGAGTGATCTAATCTCATACTTTTACATGTACCTATCCAATTTTCCCAGCACCACTTATTGAAGAGGCTGTCCTTTCTCCACTGTATATTCCTGCCACCTTTATCAAAGATAAGGTGACCATATGTGCATGGGTTTATCTCTGGGCTTTCTATCCTATTCCATTGATCTATCTTTCTGTTTTTGTGCCAGTACCATACTGTCTTGATTACTGTAGCTTTGTAGTATAGTCTGAAGTCAGGCAGCCTGATTCCTCCAGCTCCATTTTTTGTTCTCAAGATTGCTTTGGCTATTCGGGGTCTTTTGTGTTTCCATACAAATTGTGAAATTTTTTGTTCTAGTTCTGTGAAAAATGCCAGTGGTAGTTTGATAGGGATTGCATTGAATCTATAGATTGCTTTGGGAAGTAGAGTCATTTTCACAATGTTGATTCTTCCAATCCAAGAACATGGTATATCTCTCCATCTGTTTGTATCATCTTTAATTTCTTTCATCAGTGTCTTATAATTTTCTGCATACAGGTCTTTTGTCTCCTTAGGTAGGTTTATTCCTAGATATTTTATTCTTTTTGTTGCAATGGTAAATGGGAGTGTTTTCTTGATTTCACTTTCAGATTTTTCATCATTAGTATATAGGAATGCCAGAGATTTCTGTGCATTAATTTTGTATCCTGCTACTTTACCAAATTCATTGATTAGCTCTAGTAGTTTTCTGGTAGCATCTTTAGGATTCTCTATGTAGAGTATCATGTCATCTGCAAACAGTGACAGCTTTACTTCTTCTTTTCCGATTTGGATTCCTTTTATTTCCTTTTCTTCTCTGATTGCTGTGGCTAAAACTTCCAAAACTATGTTGAATAAGAGTGGTGAGAGTGGGCAACCTTGTCTTGTTCCTGACCTTAGTGGAAATGCTTTCAGTTTTTCGCCATTGAGGATGATGTTGGCTGTGGGCTTGTCATATACGGCCTTTATTATATTGAGGAAAGTTCCCTCTACACCTACTTTCTGCAGGGTTTTTATCATAAATGGGTGTTGAATTTTGTCAAAAGCTTTCTCTGCATCTATTGAGATGATCATATGGTTTTTCTCCTTCAATTTGTTAATATGGTTAATCACATTGATAGATTTGCGTATATTGAAGAATCCTTGCATTCCTGGAATAAACCCCACTTGATCATGGTGTATGATCCTTTTAATGTGCTGTTGGATTCTGTTTGCTAGTATTTTGTTGAGGATTTTTGCATCTATGTTCATCAGTGATATTGGCCTGTAGTTTTCTTTCTTTGTGACATCCTTGTCTGGTTTTGGTATCAAGGTGATGGTGGCCTCGTAGAATGAGTTTGGGAGTGTTCCTCCCTCTGCTATATTTTGGAAGAGTTTGAGAAGAATAGGTGTTAGCTCTTCTCTAAATGTTTGATAGAATTCGCCTGTGAAGCCATCTGGTCCTGGGCTTTTGTTTGTTGGAAGATTTTTAATCACAGTTTCAATTTCAGTGTTTGTGATTGGTCTGTTCATATTTTCTATTTCTTCCTGATTCAGTCTTGGCAGTTTGTGCATTTCTAAGAATTTGTCCATTTCTTCCAGATTGTCCATTTTATTGGCATAGAGTTGCTTGTAGTAATCCCTCATGATTTTTTGTATTTCTGCAGTGTCAGTTGTTACTTCTCCTTTTTCATTTCTGATTCTATTGATTTGAGTCTTCTCCCTTATTTTCTTGATGAGTCTGGCTAATGGTTTATCAATTTTGTTAATCTTCTCAAAGAACCAGCTTTTAGTTTTATTGATCTTTGCTATTGTTTCCTTCATTTCTTTTTCATTTATTTCTGATCTGATTTTTATGATTTCTTTCCTTCTGCTAACTCTGGGGTTTTTTTGTTCTTCTTTCTCTAATTGCTTGAGGTGCAAGGTTAGGTTGTTTATTCGAGATGTTTCCTGCTTCTTAAGGTGGGCTTGTATTGCTATAAACTTCCCTCTTAGAACTGCTTTTGCTGCATCCCATAGGTTTTGGGTCGTTGTATCTCCATTGTCATTTGTTTCTAGGTATTTTTTAATTTCCTCTTTGATTTCTTCAGTGATCACTTCGTTACTAAGTAGTGTATTGTTTAGCCTCCATGTGTTTGTATTTTTTACTGCTCTTTTCCTATAATTGATATCTAATCTCATGGCGTTGTGGTCGGAAAAGATACTTGATATAATTTCAATTTTCTTAAATTTACCAAGGCTTGATTTGTGACCCAAGATATGATCTATCCTGGAGAATGTTCCATGAGCACTTGAGAAAAATGTGTATTCTGTTGTTTTTGGATGGAGTGTCCTATAAATATCAATTAAGTCCATCCTGTTTAATGTATCATTTAAAGCTTGTGTTTCCTTATTTATTTTCATTTTGGATGATCTGTCCATTGGTGAAAGTGGGGTGTTGAAGTCCCCTACTATGAATGTGTTACTGTCGATTTCCCCTTTTATGGCTGCTAGTTTTTGCCTTATGTATTGAGGTGCTCCTATGTTGGGTGCATAAATATTTACAATTGTTATATCTTCTTCTTGGATCGATCCCTTAATCATTATGTAGTGTCCTTCTTTGTCTCTTCTGATAGTCCTTATTTTAAAGTCTATTTTGTCTGATATGAGAATTGCTACTCCAGCTTTCTTTTGGTTTCCATTTGCATGGAATATCTTTTTCCATCCCCTTACTTTCAGTCTGTATGTGTCTCTAGGTCTGAAGTGGGTCTCTTGTAGACAGCATATATATGGGTCTTGTTTTTGTATCCATTCAGCCAATCTGTGTCTTTTGGTGGGAGCATTTAGTCCATTTACATTTAAGGTAATTATCGATATGTATGTTCCTATTCCCATTTTCTAAATTGTTTTGGGTTCGTTATTATAGGACTTTTCCTTCTCTTGTGTTTTTGTCTAGAGAAGTTCCTTTAGCATTTGTTGTAAAGCTGGTT